CATCCGGCTCTTCTCTCCCACCCCCCTGAGGACTGCAGTAATCTATCGGCCTCCTGGATCCATATCCCTCTTCCTGGACGACTTTGCCGCCTGCCTTCCCTTCTTCCTCTCCTCTGAGCTACCGACCATCATCCTGGGGGATTTCAACATCCCCATCAATGTCAACAACCCGGCTACTTCCCAACTCCTCCTCCTAACCTCTTTCGTGCTCACACAGTGCACACAGTCCTCCACCTACACCGATGGGAACACCCTGGACCTCGTTTTCTCCCACCTCTGCACCCTCCACAACTTCACTAACACCCCCTTCCCCCTCTCTGACCACCACCTCCCCCTCCTCTAACTCCCCCCCCAAAGCATCAAACCATCACCAGCTGTAACCTCCGCAACCTGAACCCAGCCCATCTCCACCAGGCAGCTGACCGTCTGTACGACAGTATCCTTCCACTGTCATGCCCTGACTTGGCCACTACTGTGTACAACGACTCACTGTCAGCTACCCTAGATTCCCTGGCACCCCTAACCACGCGTAACATCAGACCCCGCTCGCTTCAACCCTGGCAGAACGACCATACAAAATGCCTCAAACTACGTAGTCACGCGATGGAGCGATCATGGCGCAAAACCAGATCCCCTCGAGCGTCCTTCCTCTACAAATCCGCCTTCCTCACCTACACCACCTCCCTCCACGCCGCCAAACAAGCCTATTTTGTAACCATCATCAACACCCTCTCCACCTGTCCTCACCGGCTCTTCTCCACTTTCAAATCCCTGCTCTCCCCCCCCCACCTCCACTCAGCACCTCACTCACACCGCCCACGAGATTGCCAATCATTTCCAAAACAAGATTGACGCAATCCGTAAGGACATTGTCAATTCACAATCCACCTCTCCAACTAGCCTCCTTCCATCACCCCCTCTACTCTCCCCTCCTCTGACCTCGCAGCTGCACTGCCCCCCACCATACCTAACGCCCCACACACTACCACCTCCCCAACGCTCCACTCCCTCAGCCTTGCTACTACTGAGGAGGTCACTAAGGTCTTCACTGAAGCCTGCCTCACCACTTGCCCCCTGGACCCTATCCCCTCACAACTCCTCCAGTCAACCCCCTCCTCCATCATTCGCTCCCTCACCCACATCTTCAATCTCTCCCTCTCTACTGGCGCATTCCCCTCCCCCCTAAAGCACACACACATATCACCCCCATACTCAAAAAACCCTCGCTTGACCCCACTGACCTAAACAACCTTTGACCCATCTCCCTGCTGCCGTTCACTTCCAAGCTCCTTGAGCGCTTAGCCTACAACCGCCTAAGCTCCCACCTCACTGACAACAACCTCCTTGACCCACTACAATCTGGCTTCCGTCGCCTACACTCCACCAAAACCGCCCTACTGAAAATCACTAACGACCTGCTAACCGCCAAAGCTAATGGCCACTACTCAGTCCTCCTGCTCCCCGACCTCTCCGCGGCCTTCGACACATTCGACCACCCCCTCCTCCTTACTAAACTGCACTCCTTTGGCGTCAGGGACGCTGCCCTCTCCTGGTTCTCCTCCTACCTATCCCAGCGCTCCTTCAGCGTCCCCTACAACGCTGCCACCTACCCCTCTCTCCCCCTCTCTGTTGGAGTCCCCCAATGCTCTGTCCTCGGACCCCTCCTTTTCTCCATCTACACCTCCTCCCTTGGCAAATTGATACACTCCCACGGCTTCAACTATCACCTCTATGCCGACGACACACAAATTTATCTCTCTCCACCCCTCACCTCAACCCCTCACTCTCCGCCCGCATCGCCCACCTCCTGAACAACATATCAGACTGGATGTCGCTCCATTTCCTCAAGTTAAACCTGTCCAAAACCGAGCTCCTAGTTTTCCCTCCAGCCCACGCCCCCCCCATCCTCTCCATCACGACTAGCAACGCCACCATCAATCCCACCCCACACGCCAAAGTCCTGGGTGTCACCCTGGACTCAAACATTTCCTTCCAACCTCATGTCCAATCACTATCAAAGTCATGCAGGCTCCACCTCCGCAACATCTCCAAGATACGCACGTTCCTCACCCCAGACACTACTAAACAACTCGTACACTCCCTCATTATCTCACGCCTGGACTACTGCAACTCCCTTCTCACTGGCCTACCCAAACAAATGCTATCCCCACTCCAGTCTATCCTGAACTCAGCGGCTAGACTCATCCACCTCACCAACCGCTCCACATCTGCCACCCCCCTCTGCCAATCCCTTCACTGGCTCCCGATTGCCCAATGCATTAAATTCAAATTACTAACTCTGACATACAAAGCCATTCACAACGCTGCCCCAAACTACCTAACTGACCTGATACCCAAATACTACCCTACCTGTGCCCTTTGCTCCTCACAGGACCTTCTACTCTCCAGCTCCCTGGTCTCCTCCTCCCACGCCCGACTGCAGGACTTCTCCAGGACTTCCCCCATCCTCTGGAACTCCCTACCCCAATCCATCAGACTGTCACCTACCCTCCTCACCTTCAGACACACCCTAAAAACCCATCTCTTCAGGGAAGCCTACCCCACCCTCACCTAACAACCGATCTCCTCCACTCCTCCTACCACTCCATCCCCCACAGCCACTTCCTCCTGTACCACTATCCCCTTCCTCCTAGATTGTAAGCTCGAAACAGCAGGGCCCTCGAACCCCTCGTGTATTGTATTGTACTGTATTGTCTCATGTTCTGTCCCCCTCGCTAATGTACAGCGCTGAGCACACCCTTCGGCGCTATATAAATACTGTATAATAATAATAATATAATTAAAGGTCAGGGGTATAATTTGAGAAGTAGCCACCCTGTTTTGGGGGTCCAAATGCCCCCCTTCATCAGGGCTAAAAAAAAAGATAAGAAGATTTTCATTTTAATCTGACATTAATACAATGTCCCCTTTTAGGAGTCATAATTAAAACCAAATAGCCAATCATAATGAGAGTATCAAAAACATGTACATAAAAATGAGAACATGAGTGCTGAACAAAAATGAGAATATGGGTGCTGAAAAACAAAAACCAAAAAAAATGTATAATTATAATCTTCATTATTATTAAAAAAATGGTATTTTGTGGTTGATATGTTAGCCTAATATAACAGAGAAGAAGAAAACAAAAACAAAAAATTGAGTAAAAACTTTCAGAACCTGCATGTATATAAAATGAACCATACGTTATACAATCTGACTGTACAATCATGAGACGTTTAAGAGGAAAAAAAAAAAACACAAAAAGTTCAAAAAGTAAACAAATAATAGATAAATATTACAAAAAACAAAGTGATAATAAAAATAATAATAATAACAATATTAAATATATTAATAATGATAATACTACTGATATAGTAATATGGCAATAATACTATCATTTGTAATTTTCCAAAAACTTGTGGCAAAAAATAAAATCTTCCATGGGCTTAACATGCCTCTCAGCAAATAGTTTTGGGTGTCTACTTTCTGAAAAGGGGTAATTTGGTGGAAGTTGTGCTATCCTGGGATCAGGGGTGTCCCTAGGGTTATAGTCATCCGGTGCGATAACACTTGGTGACACCCCCTCTGACGATCCCTGCAGAATGGATCGCATCTGCGGATTGCGGATCCGGTGTCACCCCGTGTGGTAGGTGTAACCCGATGCAGCGCGCACCACCCGCACCTGCCTCTGGACGCTACTGTTTGGCATTTCAGGGCCCCTGAAACTGTGATAGGTAGTGAGGAAGGGAAATTGGAAAATTGCACCCTTTGAAAGTCTGAAGGTGGTTATTTATTTTTGGATCCTGTACGTGGCTAGGCTCCCAAAAAGTCTCACACATGTGGTATCCCCATACTCAGGAGAAGCAGCAGAATGTATTTTGGGTGTAATTCCACATATACGCATTGTATGTGTGAGCAATATATATTATTTAAGTGACAACTTTGTGTAAACAAAAAAAAAGAAAAATTATTTTGTCATATGTTAAAAACTTGTGCCAAAAAATAAATTCTTCCATGAGCTCAACATGCCTCTCAGAAAATCCCTTGGGGTGTCTACTTTCCAGAAAGAGGTAATTTGGGGGGAGGGGGGGTTTACTGCTCTGGTATTTTACCACCTCAAGAAATGTGATAGGCAGTCAGAAAGTAAAAGCTGTGTAAATTCCAGCATATATAGCACAGTTTGTAGAGGCTATAATCTTTCTCGCAAACCAACTAATATACACTTATTGGGATTCTTTTTTTACCAAAGACATATAGCAGAACACATTTTGGCCTAAATTCATGAAGAAATTTGAGCTCATTGGATATTTTTTTGTAAGATAAATTAGAAAATATTGCTTTTGAAAATGAAAGATAGAAGCTCAATGGTTGCCATGCCACACCTGCTCCAGATTCTGGTTACTCTAGTTTTGATAAACCAGTGCCCCTCAACATATCTTTTTCTCTGGTCAGAAGGAGAAAGGGTTTTAATGAGTGATCGCTGTCATAGCCAATCACAGGCTATCAAAGTGTTGATGTGAATATGAGACCAGGAGCTGATGACAGTTCACGTTCTGTGATGGTAGAGTGCGTCCAGCACAAATGCTGATGTACCTATATTGTATGTGCCAAAAGGCCCTCCTCTATGATGCTTCATATGTGCATGTATGAAGACGCATTCACTTGAATTGGCTGCCAAAAATCAAAAATCATTCCTGCCCACGGTTGGGTAGTACAGTATACCACAATATACAGTGTGCTGCAACAAAGCTTTGGGATGGTACATTGGGGTGCCATTCACAGTAAAGCTTTTTTTTTTTTTTTCTTACTGTTTCTTAGGAATATGTAAATATCTGGATATTCATATGTTGACCATAAGTCTACTTTAAAATACATAGAATACGTGTCAGGCTTTTTGAAGCAACCTCATTTTCTAGCAATTAAGATGATGTCATTTTCTTGTGAGAACAACAAATAAAAAACTTGTGATGGGCTATCAATGACTAATTTAGTAAACTTACATCGGATTCAAACCTGTGCCTTGGGCTGCCAGATCTGGATCTTGACAGGAAAATGGGCTTTACAGATAATTGTTCCGGCTTGTCTCCTGTGATTTGAAGAGGGCGAATAAATTCAGAAATTAAAGACCGGCTACCTGTGGGACTTTCATGTCCTGTTTAAAAGAAAACACAAATAGAATTATAGAAGGTTTAACGATAGGTTTGGTTTCAACCAAATTGTCAAGACATTAATATACCCAGGAAACTGTGCTATACAATTGTAAATTGTATTTGTAAACTTTTCTTTCACACAATGTATTTTAACTTATTTATACATGGATTAATCAGTACATACTACTACTGCAATTTACGAACATGAAATGTTTCTTGCACAAAGGATTAGAAATTAAAATGAATTTTCACATCTGCAACCAAGCTGAGATAAACACATATTTTATATTTGTTCTACGTTCTCATTCACATAGCAAAATATTTAAAATCACTGCTTACCTTTTACTTGTGTTTTATTTGCTGAAAAATCTCAATTAGCTCTCATGTTATATGTAATTTTAAAGTGGTTGTAAAGGCTGAAGGTTTTTAATTTCACGCATTCTATGCATGAAGGTAAAAAAACGTCTGTGTGCAGCTCTCCCCTCAGCCCCCTAATACTAACCTGAGCCCCCTTTCCATCCAAAGATGTGAACGGGAGCCTCAGCTTTCCTGGGACTCCCTCTCCTCATTGGCAGAGACAGCAGCGGGAGCCATTGAGCCAATGATGAGAGAGTGGGGGCGGGGCCAAGCTGTGGTTCTGTATGTCTTATAGATGCATAGAGCAGAGCTCAGGAGCAAGCATGCACCAGTGCCACCATAGCAAGAACTAGTCAAGTAGAAGGAGCCAGGAACGCCGTCGGGGGAGCCAAGAAGAAGACGTTTAAGACTGCTCTGTGCAAAACCACTGCACAGAGCAGGTAAGTTTGACTTTTTATTTATTTATTTTTTAAAGCCGAACATTTATTATCACTTTAAGGAAGAGGTTGGGGAGCTATGTTTACCATAAATACTCATCTCTGTAGTGTGGTGGCAGATCTTCATTTATCAGTTGTAAACCAGAGGTACACCCTGTCTATCCTACAAAGGAATAGAAATCTCAAGGCTTTGGTGGTACATTGTATGTCAATGCACTTTAAAAACTATACCTAAGTCCCCTAGCTGCACATCAGGGACTCATCAGCTGAAGATTGATAGTCCTGGTGAGCATGTAAAGCTTTGGAGAGGTTTATTTACATAAAATATCAAAACCCTTTTAATTGTCCTTGTGATCCCATTGCTTAGTCCATTATGTTACTAACTGGAGTTCCTTAAAGCTAAGCAAAGGTTCACGTTGTCAGGACAAAACTTTAGGAAGGCTAAATTAGAGCACAAATCTAGTACTATGGAATCCAGTTTTCAACACTACTAGTGACAGGTGACTGCAGAACATTTTGCCTGCCTTTGATCTGTAAACCACAAAACTTAAGAATAGCCATAGAACCAACAGTACTAATGGGAAAGATGGGTCAATTTAAAGTTGAAATGTATTGTGCTTATATTTTGTTTTCCCTGGTTCCTCCATGCCCCTTATATTTTTCAATAAAACCCTTCCATTTTCTTTACATACCTTATTTTAGAGTCAGTGATATAGTCGATTGGTCTCTGTGCTTCAATGTACAATGTAGGCAAATTATGGCTCTTGGGAGGAGCCAGAACAGTGTTGTACAGCTTCCTGAAAACATCCCCACACCCTGCCTCAGTAATCCCTTTGAAGATTCCTTAGTCCTGATGCATGCAGTGGGCTGACTCTTGGTAGGGGTCTTGAAAATATGGGTGGGTGCCAGTCTGGAGAAACAAGCAGACTGAGTTTTCAGATGCTGAGCCTCCATGAATAAAACTTAAATCCAATTAATGAAACTGGCAGGCCAGGAGGAGGAAAGAGCTAGATGATTCTGGACCTTTTCCAGCAAGGAGCCAAGCTCTATCTGATCTGCTGTAGTGTCTAGTGCACTCGGTGAGAAGCTCACAGTGTGCATTCAAATCAGATTAACCATATTCAGTACAGGAGAGAAGCTAAACTAAAAGGAAGGATGGAGTTTGGCTTTAAACAGTGTTTGTAAGTGCTCATTTATTCACCACACTAAGATGCAGGTGTGGGGTTTCTGGACATGCCAAGGGAAAATAGATGTATCTGCTTTCCTCCCTCAGTAGCTCAGAGGGGCCACAGCTGGTGAGACAGAGGTAGCTGGGCAAGTGATCTGCAGCCAGGTGAGAACTAGAATACAGGCAGCTGAGTATGAGCACAATAGCATGTACCTTCTTAAGATGATCCAACTACTATGGGAATCCCCTTCCCAGTTCATAGCAGAGTACTGCAATTCTAGTGCAGTGGCTTCCCTCTGTTTTTGGGCCTTGTATCCATCCAACCATTTGTTATGTTTTTACAGCTTTCATTGTTCTGCAGTATAACCGTGTTGTTTGCCATAATTTTACTCCAATGGTCAATTACCCATTTTTTAAACAAGTATGAGGGTTCTTCAAAAAGTTTCCACACTTTTTTAGACTCTATTATATATATATATATATATATATATATATATATATATATAAGTGCGGAAACGTTTTGAAGACCCCTTGTATATTCGGTTGGTGCTGCAGCAATAATACCATAGTACAAAAAACATCTGACATGTTAATTGTAAAATTGATCTTTTATTTACAATAAGCACAGTATATACAAAGAAACTGATTAATTCCAGGTGGAAAAAGATTGGAATACATTCCTATTAGCAAGGTTGCAAGGTATGCAGCAAAGGATCATGACTTGAGCACTGCATAGGTTCTATAAAACCTAGCTTCTGACTAGCACTCATCACCACTGTCATGTATATACAGTATTTATGGCACATATCTGTGAAACACTGCTGATTTCTTTAAAAAGCAAAAAAAATAAGAAAAAGGCGATGCAACAATTTGAAATTTTCCTCTATTGAAAAGCTGAATGGGACAGCTTCCCAGCTTCTTTCTAAAGCAGCCAAATCACAATATAATTAAAGCATATTTAAACCCAAAATAAAAAATGTTATATAGCAGCGTACCAATCCTTTGATGTGGTGGTTGCATTTGTTTTCTTTTTTAGGTTTTAATCATTTCTTTTCATCTGGTGATCCAACCCATTAACACATTTCCTGCCTTAGGGGGTCTTCACTTAAAAACGTTTTATGCTGTTACCACTGTGTGTTAAATGGTTTGTCCTAACACTCTAATTGCCACTTTTGCTGGATGGCTTGGGTTTGTGAAAGCAAGCTGAAAAATAACAGACTGGCCAGATAACCAGGTAAAAAAAAACAAAGCAGCCACTGGCCAGAAAACCAGGAGAAAATAAAGGTTAAAAACTTAAAAAATAAAATAATGCAGCCACCACATTAAAGGATTGGTAAGCTGCACTATAGTACATTTTTGCTTTTGGGTTTATCTACACTTTAAAAATCTACACTGGTGTGAAAAACTGTTATTTCAAATGACATCACTCCAATAACTCATGCTGTAACAGTTTTGAGAATCAGAGCCAAAATGATAGAGGATAATTCAGTAATTAAGCTGCTGAGTCACAGGCAAATACAAAGCATTAAATTAGAGGATAACCTGGAGGACAAAGCTGTACGTAAAGTTGAAGTTGTCAGGTCTCATTAATATGCACCAATAATCTACCTGGTTGGTGGGGGGAAGGTGGGTGCGGGGTGAAAGTCAATGTAGATTAAAGTGGTTCTAAAGCGAAAACTTTTTTACCTTAATGAATTCCCTGCATTAGGGTACGAAACACTTACCTGAGTCCTGTATCGATCCAGCGTTATGCCCATCTGCATCTCTTTCACAGGCTGCACCCAAAGCAGCAGGAGTCATTGAAAGGTTGGTTTCTTCCATGCATTAGTAATAGATTGTTTTCTTATGAGTAAAATAGTACCCCTGATGACATCAGTGTGACAAAACGTGTAGGAACTGGTCTGGGTATAGTTCACGCTCAGGGGCGGACTGACCATTTGAGCACTCGGGCACTGCCTGAGGGCCCAGGGTCAGTAGGGAGCCCCATGAGATGCCCCTGGTACCTTTCATTGGCTTTTTCATGTGTGGGGCGAGGACACAGGGGCCCCATGATCCCCTATTGCCGGGGGCCCCATGAGTTCTCAGTCCACCCCTGTTCACGCTGATCCTGGACAGAGCTATCTGCAGGATGTCTGGTTGGAGCTAACATTGAGATAGACACAGTTATTTGGATAAGCTGAATTGCAGCTATGATTTAAAGTGATATGCTGTTCTTGTCATTCATTCATGTAAGTGCAATTCATTTGTCTTTAATAAAAAATGCTACAGTCAGAACTATGCCAGCTTTGTCTTTTTTGAGAAATTGGTTAACTTTTATACCACCTAAACCACTGAGGATTGCTGGGTTAAACAAGTGGAGGAACTGTGGAGGAGAGTGAGACTTTTGTGAGCAGTAACAGGGAATTTCAGGATTGTATACCACTCACTGGATTTAGTGTTTTTGGTGGATTTATTAATGGACTTGCAGTTTGCTATTTTGTATTCAATGATTCTATTTACATTTTGCAAATTATTTTATTTTTACCAACTTAGTTTAGTCAATTTGCTCAATAGTATATTTATGTATTTGATTGCATGATATTTATTGGAGTTTATTATTTATACTGTATATATTCATGAATTTATGTTATAATATGAATAAGGTTTTTGGCATGATTTTTCACTACTTTGCTTGCAACACTGCAAGAATTTATTAATTTGTGCACAGAATTGTTTACATAGTTCTTTTCTTTTTACTGTAGTTGACTCAGCATTTATTAACACCTACTGAATGTTGTCAGCAGTGTTATACTAGAAATTGTATGTAAAATTATATATATATATATATATATATATATATATATATATATATATATATATACACACACACATACACACACATCTACAGTATACATACAGTATATACACACACATATATATTATTCATTTTCATATTTTAGTTACCCATCATTTGGTCCAACTCACCTTTTCCAATAGTAGTGGCTATTCCATTCATTAACTGGGTGAGAGTCTTATTGGGGGAAATGGGTGCATCAAAATTACAGACAGTGTTACCACTCAGTAAGTCAATTTTTCCAGCTTGCTGACGAAATTTTTCCAGCTCTCGGGAGAGGAGATTGAATTGTTCACTCTGAATCCGACATTTCTCTTCCAACTCTCGAACCTTGGCCTACAAAAAGGAACAACTAACTGAACAAAATACTTAATTGCCATTAGTGATTGTGCACCAAAGTAATGGTTTAGAAACAAGAAATGCACTGATTTTGTGAATTAACCCAGTATGGATAAGAATGTGGTTTATTAATTCACCTAGGACCAGTGACATCTCAAGTTGACTTATCAAACAACAAAAAACTAGAGCAAGATTCATGGTGGTCAAATTGAAATAATGCCAAAAGAACCAATCAGAATTCAATTAATTACCGTCAGATCAATGCAAGAAGATTTCTCAGTGTCTGGTTTGGTTTACTGCAGTGTGTACAACATTGCCATGCCTTGTTAAATAAGCATGTGGAAAAGATATACACAATTCAACAATTTTACAAGTCAGCATTTTGTTTAAACATAAAACAAATGCTGAAACCTTCACATTAAGGAGAACCTGTCAAGGTCTCTAAAGATTTAAAACATTAAATTCCTTGCAGTAGAAGACAGAGGTTTTTACATTCTAGTGCTTCAACCTTTGAAAGCATTTGTCACTTCTGTGCCACCTCTAGGATGTCGGTGTTTCCCATTGCATGCTGTTTGTTCCACTGACCCCTACACCCCAAGTCCTGCAGTGACATAGGATTGGAGGAAGAAACCAGCCCAGAGAGGCAAAAGAATTCAACACTCCATAAGTGTTCAATGCTTTTGAAGGCTGAAATGGAGGACAGGTAGGAGAAATCAGCTGCTGGAGAAGTGAGTATAATCTGTCTTCTATTGCAGAAATCTTCTTTTTAAATCTTTATAGACCCTAAGGGTCTCTTCAAGGAGCATAGCATAGGAAGAAACAGAAGATTTAATGGGAATGTTTCTAGATTAAATGCAATTATGTTGCTAAAAACAAAAACACACCAAAGTGCGGGACTGTTAAGTATATTATTATGAACCATTAGGAGCCATTTTATATTATATTGATATACTTGGCATGGTGAAATTTGAATTTTCCAGATTTGTAATATATTACTTTACATCACTGTAATATATAAAAGGAAGACATAACAGCAGTAACTATAATCATGGTAATAGAAAAACCCAAACTAAACAAGGTAATCACTCAAAAATGCTGGTCACAAAATACTTTCTATGGCTTCTAAACACTATAGCTAAGTACACAAATCTACAACCTCTCAGAAATACAGGGAGTAATGCTTGAATTCAGGTCACCACCACTCAAATCTACTCTTTATTAACTTTAGCCATGTTGGGATCTGTATAATGTCCACCAATGTTTAAAAAAGCTACCTTATATAATAAAATATTCCTGCCAGTGAGCCCAAACTTGTGGAAGAAAAAATGTAATTTTAGTTGACGATGTACTAAAATGTCTAGATAACATACCCACACCTACAGTATACAATCTGATCATTAAGAAGGTAACTTCCTGACATATTTATAGAACTACAATGGCTACAAGAGGATTGGTCAAATTTGCCACAAAAGGGCAATAGCAGTATAGCACAGATGATAATATTCCCAAAGCTCTGTTTTGTTTTAGAGCCATTTAAATAATAATCACTAAATTGACATCAAAAATATCACAGTTACAAACAAATACATTTATTCAATATAATTAATCCTCTAGAAATACAAAAAAATCTATGTAACTCTATACTAAATGGAGGTTTGTGTTTCTCATTTGTTTTATATCTACAGCATACCTGCAACAACTTGCAAAGAGCCATTATTCCTAGTAATGCCACAAAATGCTAAACCAATATGATGTAAAAGCGTTTATGTGGATGACCTAGGGCATTAAATAGCTCTGATTATTTTTGCAGTAGCACTAAAAAGAGACTCTACCATATTCTCCATTGAGGGTGAAGTGACAGTCTCCCGACCTCCTGACAACAAACTTCACAGTGCTCTCCCACTGTTTTTTTTTTTTGCATGGTGGCAACCATGAAATACCAGGTGCTTCTAGGTATAGGGCAGCAGGTTCTCCCTTCCCATGATGCACTGGCCTAGGGGCCAATGGTCAGGACCTAACACTGTCACATGACAGAAGGGGTGACATCATCACCCTTGTGAAAGCTTCGACACCCTTTGACATGGAGCTAACACAGGGTATATTGTGGTGGTTGTGGCAGTGGAAGGAGCAGTTGGAAAGTGCTACTTAGGTGGGTTAGGGGTTGTACTTTTAAGAGACCTAGTTAGTTTTCCCTGAATAGGCAAATTAACAAAGTCTCTTTAAGACCTGACAAATGGTGCTTATGGCACGTTTAAATTATTTATGTTAATACTAAAATGCCACTTTGGCAAGCTGATAGTACATGTAAAGGTAACCCTTTTTTACTCGGATACAGTGGGGAAAGGTTAGACCCTTTGTCAAGGTTTAACTGCTGTCTGTGTGCCCATTGCCACCCCTTATTTTGTACTGGGACCATTGTCACTGAGACAGAAAGTTAGAGGAAATCTGAAATCACCAGAGCATGAAGTGAGACTAAATTATCAAATGGGGAAAAACCTTCAGGTGGCAAATGTCTAAAATAGGATTCCCTTTTATTTTCCTATTGTGTCTTTAGGACAAGGAAGTGAAAGGAAATCTACCATTGTGGCAAATTAGGAGTGTTTTTTTTTCTTTACTCTATCCCAAATGCTTGAGGAAAAAGGGCCAGTGCTTAGCCTTACTATAAAGTGGTGGCAACTATATTAAACTTTGGTTACAAAAAATATACTTTAGCATTTTGAAAACTACCGTTGTTTATTGGCCACCTTTACTTTCAACCAGTGCTTCATTGGTGGATTAAATATAAATGCACTTTCATTAACATCTTAATTTACATTTATAGTGCAAATGTGAAATAGAGAGTAAATTAACTATAACTACATATTAACTATACTGACATTTATTTTATATAACCTTCATAGGTAGAAATGTTTTAAAATTTTGTTTGCTGGGCTAGAAGAATGTTTGCAATAAAGTTTTCAAATTGGTAGCTTTAACATCTCAGTCTATAGAGACTTCATAAACTGTTGATGAGGTGGCACATTACACCTGTTCACCCGATGCAATCCACAAGTTTTGCCAAGAGACAATATCAGATACAGTATATATTTCTGGACTGTTCTGTAGCTACGTCATTTTGGAGTCAAGGTCAGCTCTCAACCAGACCAAATAAACCCTAGCCACATTATGCTGATACCAGTAAGCAGGTATAAATCCAGCTTACTGATCGTATATATATGGTGATCTGAATTCAAAAGTACATTATATAAAGGTTGTTGAACCATTCTTATATACCTTTTTCATTTCTTACGTATATAAGGGATTGGTACCTTGTGCAAGTATAAGGACAAACAGAGCCAGAATAAAAGAAAATGAAGAGACAATCACATGTACTAAATTCATGGTTTGACACTATCAAAAGCATTTAATATGGCCAAACTAAGCAAGCCATTTTCTCAAGCCCATCTGGCTACTGTAAATTTGCAAGAAAGACTAGACTGGGAATAATTGGGACTTTCAGGTTACAAATTGAATTCATAAGTGCTCCCTTGCTAGACTTGTACTATATGGGAAAAAAAAATAAAACAGCTCTACACCTGCTCAAACTATAGAAATAACAACTAGTCACCAAAAGAAATGTTTTTTCTTATGAAGATTAATGAAAATGAGACAGTGGGCCTTATTTATTTTATAAAATGGAGCAAAGAAAAACAAAACAGCTACAGATATTGACTAGTAAAATTTAGCTATAATTCAAAAGAATTAAGAATTTACAAATGACTGACTGCTGTTATTAACAGTGGTATTTTGATTTCTCCTTTTTTTAGTTTTTTTTTTTTTTTTTTGACTCTCATGTCCAGTGACTGAGACCTGAAAAGTTGTTCTCAATTTACATGTTTTAAGCAGTTCCATAGCAACAACTGTTGCTTTTGATTTAAATAATACAATTACTAAAACAGATCTCACCATTATCTGTTTTCCAATAAATGTAACATGCAGTAGATGCGTTTCATAGTTTATCATTAAAGACCATGCAAAGAGCATGCCCAGTGTCAGTTGTGAGTATTAATGGCACAAACCTGTTATATTGGGTCAACTTGGAAGACTGGGATTATGTACCAGCTATAGTACTACTGGCTCTGTAAGTTCATAAAAGAGAAAATGGTGCAGTTAGTGGGAGCCATTTAATGCCATGGCTGGCATAAAAGGCACTTGAACATGGATATGGAAGAGAAAAGCCTATATGACACATGGGAGGGCTCATTTATAAAAATGCAGCTCATTTCAACTAACCAATCAGGCCACAACTGTCAATTTCTGGTTCAGATTAGAAATGGAAGCAAAGATCTGATTATTTCCAGTGCTCCACTTTTTATACATAAGCCCCAAAATGTGTTCTTAGCCAGAGCCATTTTTAAGGCTACATTTACTTAGCATGCCTATAAGAATGATTCAACAACAGGGTACATGCACAGGGGGAGGTGGGGGCAGATGGCAAAGGCATAGCCACAAATACACATTTCAAATACCTGCATGCTGTCCAATGTGTTCTGGGTGAAAGGTAAAGCAATAAGTCCAGACAAAACACAATATAATAAAAGAAAACTCCAACAAATCAAAAAACAGTTCTGAACCAGCAACAAAGAAAATAATTGCCACAATTATCACCTTCATATTGCATGCACAACACACTGCTGTACATCACAAAATGGCTGAGAGTCTGATAATGCCAGCATGAGTAATTCTATAAAAAAGTACATATTTACCTAACAGAGTGAGGTATTTTTTAGTTCAATAAAGATCACTGTTGTAAATGTTTCAATTTCAGTGACTAAAAGCCAGATTATAGGCTCTCTAAACCATTGAACATCACAGACTAGAGATCAGCGAAACTGTTAAAATATGTTATCCATTGAAGGTTAAAACATAATTGATTAATTTTAACAAAGGTTTAAAAGCATACATTTGTGGTATGTTACTTTATTGATAAATAGAAAAAATGTTGTGCAAAGTTATTT